CGACTATAAAAATTTAACCAAATAAAGTTCATATATCATATAATAATATGAATCAAAAATCTCAATTTTAGTTGTTGAGGTCCCGTAAGGTGATTTTAATAGCTTAGCCCCCAAATATTAAAAAATAAAATTTATTAAAATTATAGAAAAATTATATTATTTCTTAAATTGTCTAGTAGGCAAATTTGCCTATAAACTTAAAAAAATTGTTTATTTTTTTAATAAAATATTTAATATTAATTTTAGTAATATAGTAATTATATGAAAAATATAATTTAATATATAATTTATCAACTTTATTAAAATTTATTAAGAAGGTTTTTAAATAATTCAATTTTTAAAAGTAAGTTTTAAAATATTTATATCAATTTTAAAAATTTCTTTAAAATTCATATGTTTAAAAACTAATTGAATTAATTATTTTACTATCAATAAAAGTTATAAAATTTCTTAATAAATTCTAAAAATTATAATAATTAAAGTTATTCTTTATGATAAATTTTATAATATTCTATTATAATTAAATATTGCTAAAAGTAAAGGTTAATAAGATTGTCAAAGGTCAATAATAAATTTTTTAATAATTACAAATTTTTAGCTCATAAATAACTTTAGATTATTTATTATGTAATTAAAAATAAAAATTATTATAATATAATATATATTTATAAATTAATTTAAAAAAAAATTTTTAAAAAATTTTAATTTTTTATAAAAGTAAATCTGAGGAAATTTATAGTAAATAAGCTGGCAAATTTGCTTGCAAACCTCTACAATTTAAGAGAATGATAAAAATTTTAAATACTTTACTAATTTCTAAAATAAGTTTAAATAAGCAATATAAATTACGAAAAGATAAATAATGGGGATTATTATTTATATTATAAAAAGATAACTTTTTTTAAAAAAAAATTAATAAGAATAAAAAGATTTAAACTACTAAATAGTTGACATTTATATAACATATTTTAAAATTATTAAATGAAACACAATAGAAAATATTCTTAAAGAATTGATTCGTATCTACTATATTTAAAATCTAAGGTATCATTATTTAAACTCCTCTCTAAAAAATAATTAATCCAAAATATATAATTAAAATCCCTATATTTCATTGGATTAATTATCGTGTTACCACCTAGTTACCACCTTATTTCCTTTATCAATCTAAATCTAATCAGGTTTAAAATAAAGATAACGAGATCCCCAAACCAGAATTTTACAGTTACTTTGATGTTATTTTAACATTTCTTCTTGTTCATGAAAGTAATGTTAATGTTTAAGGTTATCAGTTTTCTAACACTAGTTACGGTGTCGTTAGCTTTCGTTTTGGTACCTATTGAGAAGCCAAAACCTAGATGGGGTCATAGCGCCGTGCTCTTGAATGACAAGTAGGTATTATGTAATGAACATATTCATTTTGTAAAATGATTACTGTAACATTAGAAATTTAACAGAGAGTTAAATAAATTTACTATAGATTATATATTTATGGCGGAAAAGTGGGAACAAGTTCGAAAGAGGATCCTATGGATACAAGTCAGAATTCAAACCAACTTCTTATCCTCGATGCATCAGTACCTTTCACAATAAAAGACCCTGCGTGGACTTTACGTTTGGTAGGCCCTCGAGTTGCATATCATACAATCAGTTTAGGTGGAACACAAAATGAACTTTTAGTATTATATGGAGGGGAATATAATAATGATGTACCTATACCAGCGAATCCATTATTTTACTACAATACTTCGGAGGAATCTCCGTCATGGATTTATGCAGGAATACAAGACAAACAACCTGTGGTCCATACAAAAGAACATACGGTAGTTACAAGATTAAATGATTCTATGAATTATTTTTTTGGTGGCATTAATACACCTGACCCAAAGGTTTCAGCAAAATCTCAACTCCGGGATTTATTTAAAGTGGATACTAGGGGAAATCACTGGAATATCATGAATGTGGGTCCAAATACACCGCCAGGAAGATTTCATCATACTGCTACAATTCTTTCTGATGGAAGGATGTATGTAATTGGAGGGTATTCTGTAGACAAGTTAGCAGACATGAATCAAATTTACGTTTATGATACGATAGAAGAAAAATGGAGTGTTCAGGTTTGTTTAAAGAAGGATCTTTTTTTAAATTTAAATTTATTTTTTTTTTTTAAAAAATATATATTTATATTTATAAATATTTTAAATGTGATATCCAGACCGCAGTTGGTACTTTACCTTTGGCACGCAGAGATCATACCGCAGTAGGAAGTAAGTTGCAAAAATGATTACAACTGGTTAACATTTATTTAACATATTTAACTTAACATTTTAAATGAAATAATTTTTTAATTTGTAGCGCATGACGGTAAAGTGATAATATACGGCGGTGTTAACCAAGATTTTACTAGAATATTTGATGATATTGCAATTTTGGATACAACCAAACAACCTTATACTTGGAAAGTTTATAAGGCAAACGGCGTCATACCACCAGCAAGATATTCGCATACGGCTACGATCATTGGAACTAATATGTTGATTGCATTTGGTATATATTCATTGAAAACAAGATACGTGCTTGTATAGTTACGTGATACTTACATTTATGAAAAATTTTATTAGGGTATTTGGCAGAGAATATTGCAGATAATAATATATATGTCCTTGGTATACATCTTTTATTTGGTTTTGGTTTTGATTTTAAGTTGAATTTGACATTAAATAAGTTTTACTTTGTTCCTTTTTTTTTTCAGATACAAACACGTACACATGGAAAGAAAATTACACCCCAGAAAATTTGGAATTTACAAAAACAACGCTTTCAATTTCAACGCCCTCAATATCGACAGTAACGACACATGGTACTGACGGAGTTAAATTATTGTTTATTTTGTTTGTTGGTGTTGGTTTATTTTGGTTTTACAACAGACAAAGACGACGCCGTATTATAATTTTATAAATTCAATGAATTTAAATTTGTATATTAAGATGTTATAGTATTGGTTAAAACATATTTCATCGATTTTATTTTTATTCTTATTATTTTCTGTTTTTATTAAATCAAATAAATGTAAATTATCAATATCCTCCGTTATTTATCACTATAATTTTTTTTTTTGAAGACGGAGAAATTTGTTATCTGTGTGATCGTCATTTTAGTTTTGAGTTAGGTGAGGACATCGAATGCAATTTTCATGCAATTCATGACTTCATCGTTGTAATATTGTGTGATGTTGTTCAAGTAAGATAATATTTAACATAGCATTTGCCAATCTGAAAAAAAAAAAAAAAAAGGAGGGAATTCCTCAATGAATATTTTATGATAACAAAATTCCGGCTGAAAAATTTTATCAAAAAATTTATCTTTAAAGATGTAAAATAAATAAATAAATAAAAATTTCATGAAATTTTTTGTTTTTTTTGCAATTTTGAATAATTGAGGTTTCAAACGAAATCTCGCCTGCCCTTAATCAATTCGCGTCCATTAATTATTAAAGTTATTTTACTTTATTCTTTTTATATATATATAAATGATGCGTATAACTCATGAATTCAAAATATTTATTAAAAATTTTTCTGGAAACAAATTTTGTGTATTACATTTCATATTAAACTAATTAACATTCATATTTCTTTTTTAATCTTGGACAATTCCATTACGCGAACATCTCGTAGGGCAAGGATACACAGAAGTTTACTACTAACGCAACATGTAGGATAAGTACAAATTCATATTATTGAAACGAATCAAATAAATTGATCTCAACTAGCGTATCTTCCCTGTAAAGCAGTTCCCGAATCCCTCGGATCCCTCAGCCCATAAAAAAAAAAAAAAAGAACGTTCAGAAAACGTACAGGTACATACAGAAAACGTCCGAAAAATGTTAGATCATCTGAAACCATCTGCAACAACTCATGTTTTTGCAATGTATGTGCCTGTACAACTTTACTGGACGTTCTTCTTTCAATAGGGCCTTCAACGTGTTAAACAAATCCTTACTACTTAAGCCGAAATTTCCATTCAAAAGCAAGCTTATTACTTGGATGATCTTTACAATCAATCGAAACTTATTTATCGAAAATCGAGAATGAAAATGTCCGCATGCTAATGTTTTAAAAGTCTTTATTTTTAAATACCGATTTTTGGTGAAATGGAGTAAAATTATGCGCAAAGTATCCTTATATGTACCCGGGTATATTCTTATATAAATAAATCTTTTTATAATAAGTATCACGTGATAAATACGGTTTGCGGAACAGCTAAAAGCCTATATCCCCAGAACAGTATAAGATGCACCCCAAAATATTATAAATGTTCGGCGGATGAATCATGTTCTTCGACATCACGATTAAAAAGACAGAACATGCACAAAGAACACAAATAAATAGAACCTTATGACACAAAATCTATTTTTACCTTTTAAAGGTGTTTTAACAGTTTCATTTACGAATCTTTTATACTAAATATCCTAGTTGAAGTGACATATTCAGGAAGATATGGCATATGTTCAGATCAAATCATTGATTTATCTTTATTAAAGGAAGGAACCTAAATCCATACAATGAGATTATCGTAAATAAATGAAAGTAAAAAATGTTCAAAAATTGATGAACAAAGAAAAGCATTGCTACAATGATATTTTTTGGATTGCCATGACATTCCCTCATCCTTAACTATCTTGTCCATGCGTGATAATTATAAACGGAGCTGAGTTGGATATAGACTCCGATTATAGCTTGCATTTTGGGTTGGGCTAAGTGAAAATTTAACCGTTCTTTTTTAAAGTCGGTGAAAACTTTCCGAACCGAATTGAATTTACACATGTTTGAAAGTCTGATTGAACACGAAAGGAAAATTTGACTATTTACAAAGATCAGCTGACTTATGAAAAACTAAACTATAAAAATTTGATTTTTCATTCACATTTAACTTCTTAAGTCAGTCACCTTATCAAAAAAAAAAAAAAAAACTTAAACTAAAATCGATGCAAGGCTTACGGATCAGATAATGGTCGTTCAGCCACAAACTTTAAAGTTCATTTACTGAATAAATTAGAGTTAACAATTAAAGAATTGATTATGTAAGCCTTTCATTAAAAAAAAAGATCTTCATAAACAGTATTAACCCGATTTATCCTTTAAACAGGAATAACACGAATTATATCGGTGAAACTTATCGGAATTATTAACCCAAATTTCCTGCTTTTCGCACATAAATGCGAAAGATGGCAGAGATTGCTTGCGTAGTGAAAATGAAAAAACAAAAACAAAAAAAAAACATGTGAGCAACAAACATGTTTGATTTCATTACAGGATGCAAGACAAAAAAGATAAGGTCTTAATTGAGTTATATTGTGCTATAAATAATCTTCATTGTTATCGTTATACATGGAATTCTAGAACTTGAATTCTTTTTGTACGGAAAATTTGATGTGTAAAACAAAAAGTAACAACAGCCATTCATTTGCGTAATGTTTTCGTTGTTATCAATCTTTTTTTGTTTAATTCATGAGAAATATCTCTATAAATGAAAAATATATATTTGTATATTCATTTAACCAAAAAGAAATCTATGTGAAAGGTAAATAGACAAACGGACCATTTTTGCCTCGATTATTACATCGAAATAATTTTTTTTTTTTTTTTTACATTACATATATAAAAAAAAAATTAATAATAAAAAAGCTGTCAAAAAAAATGTATTTTTTTTAATTTCTCAGTTGAAGATAAAAAAAAAATATGTATAATTAATTAATTAATTAATTAATTAATTAAAAATGCATGTTAATGAAAGATTCTGGGTGAACCAAGTATTTTTGATCTTGGTTCTCCTAGCTACCTTTACAGTTGGTCAAATATCGTACGTTACCATTGAGGAAGATACTACAGGATTAGGAGCGCTCTACGCTGATTCTTCGCATCCAGACAATACTATTTTATTTAGGTTGGCTCGTTTAGGAGGAACCGGTTGTAATGAAGCAACCATTTTGTTCCGTACAATCTCAGCCGAAGGTGTAGTAACCCCCTTTAATTTAGCAGGCGAAGATATCGCAGATATCAGTCCAACCAATTTTTGTCAATCACCAAAGAAAAGATCGATATTTGAAAATAATCACAATCGTAGACGTCTACTTGAAAACTATTTAATGAGAAGGACCGAAGATGGCAAGAATCCTAAAGAGCCTGATGATGATTCGCCTAAAGAGCCTGATGACGATACACCCAAAGAACCTGATGATGACACACCACAAGGGCCCGATGATGATACACCTAAAGAGCCCGATAATGATACACCTAAAGAGCCACCTAAAGAGCCCAATGATGATACGAATAAAGAGCCTACACCCAAGGAAACACCCAAGGGAACGTCTAAATCACCTGCACCTGTCCCGGATGGAATTGGAGTACTCACTTTCGCTGACAATCTTATCCTCCTCTACTTTCAATGCGGAACTGATGTGTTACTAATCTGCGGTAATATCTATGTAAATTATGACATAACAGCCCCCCTTCAAAAGATAAGGTTTGAAGAATCTTGCACCGAATATGATGCGGTAAGGGGACAAAATGGGTTCCTCTTTCTGTGTTATAAACAAACGGAATCGACGATTTCATGGCAAAATTGGGGAATTAATGAAAGTCTGATAAAAAGGATTAATTACGGAGAAATCACAGCGGTGAATGAAACACTTAAAGGATCACTTGTGAAAGCGTTCCCGGTTGGTCAAGGAGCTTATTCAGTCGTTATGGGCTCTTATGCTCAGCATACGGCTAAAAATCTCTACATTCCTCCAATTGGCTTGGCGGCTTATTTCTTAACAAATCAAAGTGAATTATACAACGGTCCCTTTAATATATATTTCAATCCCGGACAAAGTGAAACGGACGAAGTTAATTTTGCGATTCGAGTTTGCCATCCTCAAGCTGGAGGATATGGCTACCGATGCCTAATAACGATAAAAAGAGTGGCCGTCACAAAATTTATATCTATTGGATTTTCCGAGGCTGGGGAAATCACCTCGACCTACGAATTTCAATCGTATGAAGTGACCCCTACAACTGATGTTGGGGGAGCCGCGAGTTTGCGTTATGGTGGATATTGTATTGTTATTGTGGATAATGGTAAACTTGACGGTCTTGTCTATAATGAAAAAGGTATTTCTGGTGGAAAATGGGGAATGCCGAAAGACATCAATTACACTCCCAATGTCGGTGCTACCTATAATAATACTGTGTACGGTATGGAACAAATTACAAATGCAACTTCATGGAGAGTTCATTTCTCTCAACAATTACAAAACTATAAACCTAACCTATAGCTTATAAAATCATAAATATATATAAATAAAATGATTTTTAGCTTTTTTTTTTTTTTTTTTTTTTGATGTTTACAATAAAATAAAAAAAAATTTTACGAACGGAGTGTTTTGAAGTTTGTTTTTAGTAAACTTGTTTTATTGTACAATTATGTGTTTCTAACATTACCGTTTATGGCGATGATTGATCACTTAAAGTATACAGTGGTGTGCAAAAAAAATGACAATTTTTAAAATTACGATCGTTACACAACCACTTTATCAATCGAAACGTA